TATTTTTTTTATCATTGTTGTTGAAAGTATTACATATGTCCCCCTTTTTTCCCCATTGACCTCTTCTAGTCTGCCACCCCCTCCAGTCCTTCACCACCCTATTGTCTGTGTCCATGGGTTTGTATATATGCATACAAGTCTTTTGGTTGATCTCTTCCCACTCACCCAGTGTAGCTACTCTTTTGCTGAAACATTCCCTGCTATGCATGACCCACTAGAACTCTACTCCACTTTGCCTCCTATTTGTTTGAATATCTGAGGTGGTTTAGAGATAATAAACCTTCCTTAGCAGATGAAACTTTCTGCCTCTGAAAGGGAATTCTAAACCGCGTGTTTTCTCTCTGTTGCCTTAGGTGCACACCAACCAGAAGGAGCAGTTTTTTTTTTTTGCCTTTTCTTCGGCAACAGCCAGGCTCAGGCTCCTGAGGACGGATGGGTTTCCTGGTTATTCTGCTCTCCCCGGGAGCCCACGCACCTGAATGGAGCCTCCAGAGAGGGTGCGGTTCACATCATAGCGGATGATGAAGTCGCCATCCACGACTGTGTCCTGTTGCTCTGCAGACTTCTGTTGCTGGGAGAGCGTTGGCTTGAATCGGATGTGAGCCTGGAGGAATGACCGAGTGGGCTGATGTCGGGGAGCAGCGAGGCCACACTCACACCCCTCACCCCACCTGAGAATCACCCGGGATGAGAACTCCCCCGTAGGTCAAATCCCAGGGAACTTTCTCTGAGGCTGGGCTGTCAGGTGGATGGCCTCAGTACAGTGGATAGGTGTGAGCAAGGAGCCTCTGCTCCGGAGCCGTGTGAGCAGAGCCTGGGCTCAGGATGTGTATGATCCAGCCTCCTCCTTTCCCCCTGGTCCTGGGACCCTAATGTCAGTGTCCTTTCCCAGTCGCCCCCTAACCACAGGTTCAAATCAGCACCCGCCATCTTCCTCTAGGCCTTGCCCTCCTCATCTGCCTCATGTCAGCGCGGACACAGAGACCTCAGTAGTCAGCCAGCCGAGAGATTCTGCCCAATTGTCCCACTCTCTGGGACCCAGGCTCACAGGGCAGCGGGAAGACAGGCCCCTCGGTACCCTCCCCTCCTACCCCCTGTGGCAGGCCCACCTTGGTCTGGTTCTGTGAAACGGTGAGGGCATCTGCAAGCTCATTGGTCATGAAGGTGCTCTCTGTCTCCAGAAAGCTGATGCCCTGAGGCTCAAAGATGTGAATGTCCATCTAGAAGAAGAAGGGGGTCACTGGGTTAGCCAGGAGCCAGGGCTGGGCCTCACAGGAGGCTGAGGGGACAGGGGGACCACCCTCTGCTGCACAGGGGTCACCCAGGAGGCCTCCTGGGAGGAGGCAGTTCCAGGTACCTGCAGGTGCTTGACCAGCTGCTGGGGCTGCACTTTCAGCAGCAGCTCATACACTCCCAGGCGCCGCTTGAGCAACTCCTCGTACACCAGCTCGAAGGTGACCTTGGCAGCGGGGGCCACACTGACCGACACCTGGAACTGCTCCATCTTTCTCCCAGTGGCCCTGGGGGAGGAGGGCATCAGGCCTGCCCCTCCAGGCCAGGTAGGGTATGGACACTGGAGGCAGGAGCAGAACTACAGGCAGGGGCGACTTCTGCCCAACCCCCACTGGGGTCTCCCACACCCCCTTGGGCTCACTTGACGAGGCCAGCGCTCTCCCCTCTGGCCACGGCCGCACTGTACTGCTTCTGGGCTGCATCCTTCTGCTTGATGTTCCCTGGGTACGTCACACCGTCGATGATCCTGGGGCAGGAGGGTGGGTGCTGTCAAGAGTCTGGTGGTGGGGAGGCTCTCTCCAATCCCACCTCCTCCAGGGAGCCTCTCAGGGACTTACTGTGCCTCCTGAGAGAGTGACTCCTACCTGGACCGGACCTCACCCGTTTATTATGCACCTACTGTGTACAAGACTGTGCAGGCCCCGGGGTAAGGGCGGGCAGCCTCTGCAAGGTGTGCCAGGCCTCCATCTACCCCGAGGCATGCACAATGGAAGTGAACATTCGTTTTACTGAACGGACAGGAGAGGAAGGTTGCAGAGGAGACAGGGCTGAGCTAAGTCCTGGCCTCTCTTCTCCCTTCCACTCTGGCCCCACATTCCAATTGCCCCCTCCATCTCATAGACTGTCCCAGAGGAACCTGTCGACCAGCAGCACACGCTTTCTGAGCTGCGCTTGCACCCATCCAAGTGCCCAGCTGTGTGGGGCAGACTGAGGAGGAGGGAGATGCCAGGCTCCCAGGCCAGTGGGAGACACAGGGCTAAAAGGCTTTGAACCCTCTTCCCA